GGCGTTATACGCTGATGTTGGAAACCAAGATAATTAGCAAACTGTTTGAATTCTGTACTATTAAATGGGGCGCCATTGTCCGATTTAACTGTTCTGGGAATTCCGTGAGTAGCAAAGATTTTGTCAAGACAGGGAATAACAGTTGTATGGGCTATTGTTCTAATAATATCTACTTCGGGGTATCGTGAGTAGTCATCAATCAGTACAAGTAAGTACTCACCACTGGGAAACGGGCCGCAAAAATCAATTGATACACTTTCCCATGGATTCTTGCTAGCTTCAGGCATACGTAATGGTTCAATGTTGCTTGTGTTTGTTGTGACTTGGCAAGCTAAGCAGCAGCTAACCTTTTCTTCCACTTGTTTATCAATGGTCGGAAACCAGACCTTCTCACGTAAGAGTTGTTTTGTCCGTGATATGCCTTGATGGCCTTCGTGTGCGAGGTCTATCACATGGTTTTGAAGTTTACTTGGTATGACTATACGGGTACCACGTAGGAGGAGACTTTGATCACTGTTAACTGACAGTTCGTTTTGGATGTGAAAAAAAACATTCTACCGACTTGCGATCAACACGAGGTTGGAGTTTCGCATTATGCCACTGTTTGGTTTGAATTGCTTGAATGACAGCTTGAACTGTGGTATCAGCTTTTGTGGCTTCTTTGATTTCTTCCAGCGTAAGGGCCTTGGGAACAGCATGCATTGAAACGAAATTAACATATTCTTCAGCGCATCTCTCCTCATGGCTGGTAGGTGATGATGGCAACGGATGGCGGGACATAAAGTCGGCTGGATTGTCAGAACCAGGTTGATACTGAACATTAAAACGATATGGCTGTACCTTTAATAACCATCGTTCAATACGAGCAGGTGGTTTGCTTTGTGGGTCGTTGAAAAGACGTTCCAGTGGCTTGTGATCAGTAATAACAGAGAATTGGGTACCATATAAATGTAGATGAAATTTATGACATGACCAGACAATAGCCAGAGCTTCTCGCTCAATTTGTGAATAGCGAGTCTCTGCAGGAGTTAATACCCGACTGGCATAACTGACAATACGTGGCGAAGCACTGTGATCTCTAGTGGTAGGATATTGGACAAGTATAGCACCAAGACCAACTGGACTTGCATCTACAAGAACTTCAATTTTGTGCGAGGGATTATAATAAGCCATTGTTGTTTCACTGGTTAACACGGATTTGATACTGTCCATAGCATGTTGTTCAGTACTGGTCCATTTCCACTTGACATGCTGTTTTGTCAGGTCTCGTAATGGTTTAGCTAGTGTCGCAAGGTTTGGGATGAATCGGGCACAAAAGTTGACCATACCTAGAAAACTTCGGACTTCGTTTGGATTGGATGGAGGTTGGGAGTTGCGTATAGCTTCCACTTTGCGAGGGTCAGGTGAAATGCCCTGCGATGAGAATACATATCCAAAATATTCAACGCTGGTTTTGTTGAATTCACACTTCAGCTTATTTAATGTTAGGTTACGAGACTGAAGACGTTCCAATACAGATTTAAGGTTGTTGTCATGTTCTTTTTGGTTGGATCCATAGACTAAGATGTCATCACTGATGTTAATACAGCCGTTGAGACCTTCAAGAGTTTCTCGAATAGTATTTTGGAAAATTTCAGCTGCAGAGGTTACTTCGAAATTAAGGCGCTTATATCTCCTCAGGCCGACATGGGTGCTAAACGTGGTAATATAGCGTGATTCTTCTGAGAGTTCAAGTTGGTGATAACCTTGATTGAGGTCAAGCTTTGAAAATACTTTAGCGTCATTTAGATCTGCTATGACGTCATCTATGGTGGGGGTTATGTGACGTTCTCGCTGGATTGCCTTGTTGACAGCCCGCATATCCACACAAATTCTAACATCGTTTGGACTTTTGGGTTTCGGCACAACGATTGGAGAAACCCAGGGCGTTGGACCTTCTGTTTTCTCGATGATGTCATCCTTTTCCATCTCTTCAAGCTTTTTCTCCACCTGTTTCCGTAGATGGAATGGTATCCGCCGATGGGTTTGAGCAACGGGTGGAATTGATTCGTCAATATGTAGCTTCACCTTATGATCTTTTAATTTTCCAACGCCATTGAATAATTCCTCAGGTATTGCAACATTGCAGGATACAGTTGTGTTCTTAGCAGTGTCCACAGCGTTAGTAATTGCAATCAAACCAAGATGCTTTGCAGTATTGTAGGATAACAAAGAACCTCCAAGGCGACCGTTGTTGCTAACGACAAAAAACTCGGCAGCATCAATTCGTTTCCGCGATTCTACAGTAGCAGTAAACTTTCCAAGGACACGGAGGGGTTTATCGGACTTGTAGGGGTAGATGTTGATAGAACTGTGTTGCAATATTATTTCCGGTTTGAGGGCTTCAAAATCCTTTTCTTCGAGTAAATTAACTGTCGCTGCAGTGTCAATAATGAATTTAACTTTGGCTAGGTTTTGAATCCGTAAGTTAACCATTGGATGTTTGGTATTTTCGTCTGTATCTTGCACCATAAACGTATATTCATCCGACTCGGAGTGTTCACTGGTATTGTCACTTGCGATTTCTTCGTTTACATATTTAACCGTCTGACGTTTGTCACTTTCATGGTGGCGATGTTGTTGTTTTTGTGGAGATGAACGGCATGCGACGGCAAAGTGATTCAATTTCCCGCAAAGTCGACACGTTTTCCCTTTTGCTGGACATACGCCAGGATGAGGATAGGGTTTGCTGCAAAAATAACATAGTTTCGTTGATTCTTGTCTTGGTCCTTGACGTTGTGAGTTGAAGTTCTTCGAAAAGTAATTTCGTGTTGCAGCAGTTTTCATCTGGTTGACTGATTCTGTGTTGTTATTTTCCATTTCCTGAGCTTGTTGGTGTGATAGTTCGTAGGCTCGGCCTTGATCTAAAAGTTGTTGGAGAGTCATTTCAGTACGAAGGGCTTTTCGTCGAAGCTGTTGGGACGTGCACGTTTGGACAATTTGTGTTTTAATTTCGCGATCCATGTCTGCAAATTCACACGTGGAAGCAAGGTGTCGAAGGCGAGTGTGGTAAGAATCGAGCTTTTCGTCATGGCGTTGGCTAGCTTGGCGAAATTTGTAGATTTCATACTCCGTATTCTTTTTAGGCTCGAAATAAGTTGTAAGTGATTTCACAGCGGTGTCAAAATCATCCTCAGAACCTTTCTGTTCGGCGGTAAATGTGTCAAAGATATCGTAAACTTGTGATCCAGCCAAGTGTATAAGTAAAGCACGTTTCCGTTTCTTTGCCGATATATCCATAGCGACCATAAGATTGTTAAAACGTTGCAACCATTTTTTCCAGCGAGTGGCAATAGAAGAACTCGAAGTGTCGTTCCCATAAACTATAAATGGTTCGAAATCGGGTATGGCTTTTGCCATATTTTATTATTATTTTTTGTCCTCGTCGCCAAATGTAATATAGTACTCCTTCGATGCATAAACACATGTCTAGCTTCTATCTTACAAGTGCGCATGCTCCTAAGGCATGATGTAACAGTAACAAATGGCTTTATTAGCATGACTTCACATACAAGTATTGCTAAAGCTTATTAGTTAATTATAAATAGTTACAAATGCAAAATGTTCTGTGGTAATATGACACTGTGAGTAATACAAGAAATAAAAATGAAGTTATTGATATAAAGAAAGGCATAGTTAACAAATGAATACTCTATTTACAGTATACAGTATATGTAATTGAAGAAGTTTGGGAGTTAGTTCGATAGCCTATTGACTGTCAGCATTCCGAGCTTCAAGGCATTTAGATCTCTTCTCAAAACATAAAGAGATAAATTTTGATAATTTTATCACGGTTTCTTTATCAGTTGATTTCATTATCTCAACTGATAAACTGTGTTCGTTTAAATCTGTTTCATTGGTGGGATCACTTTCCAAGTCATTTAAAAAGTTTTCTCGGAGACTACTATAGGCTTCACAGGATGTTAGGAAGTGATGTTCCGTTTCAATTTCTCCTGCCTGGCAGACCTTGCATATTCGGTCTTCTCGCGGAATGTTTTCGTATCTACCGAGTTCAATCATTAGTTTATGGTTACTTAGTCGGAGCTGTGTTAAACGATTTCTTTGGTTTGAATTAGTTATGGTAGTCAAATAAGTTTCAAGCTCATAGTCTTCCTTTATGCTTGTGTAGAAGGTAAGTTTGGATGAGTTTTCAAGTTTATGTCTCCAGAATCTCTGGTAGTTTTCTTTAGTATCTTTAACGCATGATTCAACTAGTTTGGTTGTAAGTGAATCTAGGTCAGGGATTGCTCTATTACAATTCAAGGTTTTCACTATATCCATTGCTTTTCCATAGAAAGAATTGCTCTTTTTAATAAATAAATCTTTTGATATGAGGAAAGCTTGTTTTGAAATGGTTGTTTCAGGAAGTGAATTAAGATGAGTGACGTACTTGAAGATTCTTTTGAATACATTGATAATTAATGGATATTTTCCAAGTTCGCTTCTTGAGGCGATATTACTCGTCTTTCTGCCAACGCCTAGGTAGAGCTTACAGAATTTTAGGTGTACTTTTTCAACCGGCAGTTTATCCCAATTGATAAAATCGTTTTTGATATATACACCCCAAACTTCTGCATTGTACAGAAGAATGGGGCAAATTATGCTGTCGAAAATTTTAATAGCAGATTTGGGGTTAAGTTGGTGTAGGTTGAGCCGTCTTCTGATGCTATAGAGCGCATGCAGGGCTTTTTCACTCAGCTGTTTGATGGCCAAGGAAAAATTACCATTGTGATTAAGCTTTATGCCTAGGTAACAGTATTCCTGTACAACAGATATCTTTTCATTTCCTAGTGTGAAAATTGGCTTCGCTTTTTTTGTTTTCCTTTTTTCAAAAATCATAATTTGGGTTTTCTTTAGGTTTACCTCCATTAGCCACTTCTTACTCCAGCTATGGAGTTTATCCAGACACTTCTGGAGGCCGAATTTTGATTTAGATAGTATAATTAGATCATCTGCGTAAAGAAGACAGCTCAGTTCTGTTCCGTTTGGCAGTATAAATGGGTCCGAATTGGTGTTTTTAAATAAGGTCGTTATTTCATTTATATAAATATTGAAAAGAAGGGGGCTTAGTATACATCCTTGACGTACACCTTTAGAATAAGTGAAAAAATCGGTTCTGATGTTGTTTTGTTTGATTGCACATTTCGAGTTAGAATAAATACTCTTAATAAGACTGTAAAACTGACCATCAATTTTATTTTCAAGTAATTTCAAAAAAAGACCTTCGTGCCAAATAGAGTCAAAGGCTTTTTTAAAATCCACGAAACATGCATAAATTTTACCTTTGTTTTGTTCTACTTGTTTGTCAATTAGTGTTTTCAAAGTAAAAATATGGTCTGCAGTTCGGTGACCAGACTGAAATCCAATTTGCGATGGATGTATTAAGCTTTGTTGGTAACTAAAATTGCTTAGGCGGTCATTAAGGATAATACAGAAGAATTTGCTGAAACAGCTTGTCACACAAATTCCTCTGTAGTTGTTGGGGTTAGTTTTATCACCAGACTTAAAGATTGGCATAATCAGACCTTCACACCATTGATCTGGGAAGCTACCAGTTTCTAGTATGAGGTTAAAAAGTTTTTTGTATCCTTGTAACAGTATGTTTGTACTGTATTTGAGCATTTCGTTTCTTATTTTATCAGAGTACGCGGATTTGTTGTTTTTTAATTTCCTCGCAGCGTTGATAATTTCGTATTCTGAAATAGGTTCATCGAGTAAATTATTTGTGGGTTCCATTTCAAGAGTTTTAAGCGTTTGTAAGATATTAATCTGTTCAGGGCCTATTAAGTGCTTTGTGTGCAGAGATTCAAAATGATTTAGCCAACTGCTGGCTGTAACATCCGGCTTATTAAAGGAAAAGTCTTCGAGTTCATCACTCATGTTCTTAAGTACTTTCCAGAAGGAGTTTGGGTCATTTTCAGACACTCTTTCTAGTTCTTCTAGTTTTTTTTCATGAAAAAGTTCTTTTTTACGTTTTAACGTGTTTTTGTAAATTTTGAGGGCAAAATGGTATTCGTTTCTTATATCGTTATTCAGGGGATCACGGTGTTTTTGGTTGGCAAGTTTCCTAACTGAATGTCTTTTTAAACGGCATTCTTTATCAAACCATTTCTTATTACAGACATTAGATATTTTGTTTCTGAATTTGGTCTTTTTTATTTGGAGGGAACTCTTTCCGGCATGCAAAATAATATCTTCCATTCTGGAAGCGAATGTGTTAACTCCTTCCTTTGTGAGGGGAGTGTCATAGTTGATTAAACTTTCCAGTTTTTGTTGGATTTCGACTGATTTTAAAGCTTCAGTGAATGAGATCGGCGAATTATTTTCCCATGTAAATTGATAAGGGAGTTTATGAGTAGTAGATATGGGAGTCGGAGTTATGTTGCTAGTTGAGTTAATATGTTGCTTTGTTCTGATCCACGTCACAATTTGACTGTGGTCAGATAAGTAGGTTGGTGGTTTGACAATAAAGTTTTCGATGGTTTGTGTAAGCTCTTGGTCACAGATTATATAGTCAACTACACTAGTTCCATTTTTGTGATGGGAAGTGGGTTTACCAAACGAGTCACCAAGAGTTCTTCCATTCAGAATTCTCATGTTGCAATTTTTGCAAATTTCAATAAGACTTTTACCATGCTGGTTAGTAGAGTTATCAAAACTTTCTCTGATTTTTGGTTCAAAAGATGTTTCAGAGATGTCATTTATGAAGGTGTTGCCTTCTTTTGATACAAAATCTTTCAGATTGCTGGTACGGGCATTAAAGTCCCCTAACAGCATTATGTTTCCTTTTTTGGAGAAATTCAAAATGTCATTTTCCAGTTCTTCAAATATTTCATCATCAAAGTATGGAGACATTTCTGGCGGAATGTAGACCCCACAAACAAATAGATCTTTTGTTTGGTTTAAAATTGTACGATCTATTCGACACCACAAGAAATTTTTTGTTTGTTTTTCAATTGAGAGAAAGGTTTCCAATTCTTTTTTAAACAAGACTGAAATTCCACCAGACAAACGGCAACTACGATTGGATCTGGGAGTTGCCGTAATGGTAGATACTGCCTTGAAACCAGGAATGCTGTTTGTCTCTTTGGACCATGTTTCAGTCAAGAAGATCAAGTCATGACCTTTTATATTTTGTATAAAATCACCATTGGTAAGCTTGTTACCGATAGTGTTATGTTTCAGGCCATTTATATTCCAAGCACTAAATGATAGCCTGGAGTACATTTGAGTAAATTTTGGTCAATTTGGATTTTAGGAAAAGATTGGAGAAGGTGACCGACCTATGACAGATGTTATGTGCTAGAGATTATATATTTACAAATCTATATATATATTAAGAAAAGTGTGTTTTGTTACTTACAACCTTTTTTATTTCATTGGAAGAGACCATAGAGGAGCTTTGCAATTTCTGTGATCTTTTGATTTTTGGCATCTTCTGATGATATTTTCTGGCTGTTTGGATTTGTATTTCTTTCCATTGGTGGGAAGTGATGGTCGTAGTTTTGGAATGGTGGAGTATTGTAGTATGGTTTGGGGAAGTGTGAAGGGGGGAATGTATTTGGGTGGAGTAGTGGACTTGGGTGGGGTAGTGGACTCGTGGATTTGAGTGGAGTAGTGGATTTGAGTGGAGTAGTGGATTTGAGTGGAGTAGTGGATTTGGGAGGAATGGTTTATTTGGATCTGGGTGGAACTGTCGTTTGGTTTTGATGTGTCGATGGGTCTTCTGCGTTCCAAAGAATGCACTCTTTAGGTTCTTTAGCAAATATCTTGATGCCTTTGTCGTTAAGGTGTTTTTTATCATATAAGATCGATGTCGACTGGAACAAGTTTGTATGTTCAATGTTGGTAACATTTTTAAATTCGGTAGGGATTTGGAGGAAGTTTCTGTTCAGGTTCTGTGCTTTTTGGAGGAGTTCATCACTACGAGGGAGGAGATTTGATAGCAGGATCCGTGCCTCAGGATTTTTGTTTCCAATTGAGGTAAGAAGAGATCTTGTCTGGTCTGTGACTTTGTTAATTGGGAGCTTTTCAATGTCATTTGTACCAACATGAACAATGAAGGTCTTGGTTTGTTTGAATTCATATTGGTTTATGAGTTGATTTGCTGATTCTAGAGTTGGACATTTTAGGTATTCGGTGGATGAATTTGGGCAGAGCAGTTTGGGGTCGAGTTTTCTCCCATTTGAGTCACATAGGATGACTGTTTCTGCGTCTAATGTTTTGGGTGAGGCCTTCTTGGTTTCACCTTGCAAACTTTGTGATATATTAATTGAGATGTCATGGTTGGGATTTTCCTCGTTAAGGGGAGAAAAAATATTGTGGGTAGGAATGTTGGGTATAACATTTTCAGTTGACGCGGAATATTGGGGTGATTCTTCTGTTTGGGGGGTAAGGTTCACTTCATTATTTTTCTTGAGTTTATTATATTGGTCAATGGTGTTACTAACTTTTTTCTCAATTTGTTTCTGCTTTTTGGATAAGCTATTCAGTTCAATATTATCCTTTCGCAGTAGTTCATTTGTTGCTTCCAGACTGCCAATTCTCTTCTTTAACATATTAATTTCTTTATCTTTGGATGTTAGATCATGTTTAAGGTCTTCATATGATTTGAAGATCTCTTGCTTGAAGGATACAAAGCTCGATTCGAGGTCCGCCATGTTATTTTTCATGGTGGTAAGGGATTTTTCACAGCAAGGGTTTGAAGGATTTGAAAGAGGAGGGAGGTCTTCGGTTGTGACTGTGATAATTGCTGGATTTGTTACGTCACATTCATTTTCCATTGGGGGTTGCGAGACAGTTTTTAGGAAAGATTGTATGTTCTTTGATGATGTGAAATTTGATGTATTTCTAACGTTTTGGTCGACGAGATCTTTGATGATAGGGAATTCACTGTCACCCCAAACACGTAATGATTTACCTTGAATCTGGATTCGTCCAGTACTGCAGTAGATTATTATAGTGACAATGTTTACTTGAGTTTTCTCGTCCTCAGTCGACAATGTAATGGATATCTTTTCCGATTTGGTCGCATCGTTTTGAGCTGGTGTTTCATCCCATGTTGACTTAAGTGTTGTGCCGCCATCTTTGATTGCTTCGGCACAATAGCGGAGATAAAACGTTTTAATCCACGTGGTAATTCTTTCTTCGCTAGTAGTAAAAGCGATACAGTTGGAGGTTGTTTTGTATATCGAATAGTCTATTTCTTCGAAAGGAACTTGACGGGCTTTAGTGTTTTTCTTGAATTCGTCGAATTGGTAGCGCGAGAATGATAGATCGACACGTGTTGTGAGAGCCAAAGCCATACTTGATTTTTCAACGCTCAATCGGTTGATTTCCTTTATATTTCTTCGATGATTCTTTTCTTCGTGTATTAGGCCACAATATTTGTCATAGGTCAGTCAACGTTAACCAAATCTTATTCCAAAAAAATTGATTTAAAAATGCACACGCAAATTCGCCATCTTGCAAGTGTCATCACTATGAGTGTGGTCAACATGTGCAAGTGCAAAAACTTTTCATCGAAGTTTGTTATCACTCTTAGACTAACTTAAGATTTCAAGAGTTTAAAAGAAAATTGGGTCATTCCAGAAAAGATCACACTCCCCCCACCCTCCCCCAAGAGGAAATTTCTGCTGTCCGAAGGTGAAAAGGGAGGGAGAAAAAATTGTTTCTGATAATAATAAGTGTATTAGGACATCTGAAGAGCTAGGGTAGAGGTATCGATTGTTTTCTGGAATGACCCATTCTTAATTTTGCTGCAAGCATCCAACATAACTACAAGGCCTGTTAGTATCAGGGTTGGATATAAGAAGATTTTTTTAAAAGTAAAATCTTCTTATTTCTTATATTAATATAAGAAGATTTTTTAACAATATAAGAAGATTTTCCATCTTCAAACAAACTTTGATGACATCAAGGAAATATAACATCATAAGTATAAATTACATATTTTCATGTAATCTATTTCACTTGTATATGTTATCAAATAACTTGCAACCAGTATATAGCTTCAAATTCACATCTTCAAATTACAAAATTGTCGAGAATAATATAAGATGATATAAGAAGATTTTCCCCCGAAAAATAAATCTTATATTAATATAAGAAGATATAAGAGGAAATAATATAAGAAGATCTGCCAACCCTGATTTAGTATGCACTTTGTTATTTGCATTTTATAATGCTTAATATTTAATATCCCAATCACCAAATTTACTCTGCAAAATCACAAAAGTATTTAAAAAATCACAGGCATTATGATAGTTTATTATATTATTGTATATTTACCAATCCATGACATGTATGGTGGCTTGTTAGCTTCTAGTAATAACATTTCACTGCCATTCCCGCCAAATGGCTCCGTGGTTTCCGCCCCTTTTGTTGCATGTTTTGTCACTCTCAGGCCAGCAAACTAACCTCTTCTGTCCCATGTACATTATGTAAGGCCATCTGAACTGTCCATTGCGATCGCGACTTCCGCAAATTCGTAGTCTGCGTCACAGATGGTGGGTGAAACTTTAGAACGGTAAGTTTCACCCACCGTCTGCGATGCAGGCTACAAATTCGTTACGATTTCATAAAATTTTTCCTCTAAATTAAAACAAGGGTGGCGGTATGAGCACCAAATACTCGAATCAAATCACTTCGTAATTAGCTTATATATAAACGTGTAATTGTAAAAAGCTTATATATGAATGTGTAATTGTATTTTAATAAAATTCGGGATCTTGGTTTTCAAGTTTTGTGGGTCTTAGGGGTCTTATCTCTAAGGTCTTAGTTTTCAAGACACCCTTTTTTATTTTATATAAAAACCTTTATATAATAAAACCAACATTAACAGCTGGTGTTACATTTGTAAGCAGTTGACCAGTGCTGGGGTGTGATATACATGCCCAGCAGGGGCAGATCCAGTGTTTTGGATGACTGGTTTACTAGGTCCACACAATGACGACTGGTTTACAATGACGACTGGTTGACGGACTTTCGGTATGTGCTATATAGATGAAAATACCAGCATTCGATTCAGTGAAACAATATCTCCCAGGTTTACTCCACTACCCAGTCCACTACCCAGTATTACAACATTTTGTAAGCGGAAACCACTGTGATAAGTCCTTAATTAATTAATTAATTGGTTATTATGTAACTATGTATAAAGTGGGTCTAAATACGCTCAGTAATCCATAATCAAATTTCAATAACACTATTTAAGTGGCGAAAAAGATTTTATGAAACAGAATATTCTTTAAATTAGTAATATACATGGAAGGTTATAGATTTTATCTCTTTGGAAAATCTGACAGGTTTATGTAAACTTGTGAAACATGTCTGAATCCCACTGTAATTGGTATTAAGCTGTTGTGGTGTCCCAACAGTCTCTGTTGTAAATTTGACATTGGCCGTTGTGTTACAATTATATTTTGCTCGCCTGATTGATGAGCAGAGAAAGGTTTCTTCAGCATATCACTCATAAAGACATAATACCTGCTTCTGTGGAAGCTGTCACGCTTCCTGAAGCCATTAACATGCAAATTAATACAATGCGAAATCACTTACCTTGATCAGTTGACACATGAACGGAGTATTCTACTAATTCAAGTGTGAATTATCTCGAACAGAAAGACTGTATCAAAAGACAAAGGCTCAAGTCATGCTCTGGAAAATGAGCGTGACTAGATGTTGCAAAACAGTGCGTTTGAGCATGCACAGTTGCCATTATCCAATCAGATTGCCAGTATTTCTACTATAAAATATATTACTTGGTCATGCTGATTTCAGAGGGCATGACTAGACTGCAAAATGCGTGGAACATGCTGTACACACGAATTTCACACGAACTCGCCATGTTTGTTGCTAGGTAACATATGCAAATGAGCAATATTTTGCCGAAAATGACATAATATAGCGAAATCTTAGTACTTGTGAAAGTTTCAAAAAGCTAAAAGATTTTAATTTGAATTTTAGCGGAAAGAAATTCTTTATTTTTGGTCATGCTAAGCATGACTGCTAGCTATGCCACTGCTTATTGCTACGATGTGACTTTAGTGGGGGGCAAATGGGAGTTTGCAAATGGTCAATGACATTTTTTAAGCTGTATATAGTAATTTTCACAACTGCTTTTATCGTCAGCCTATGGAACAGATAACCACTTGGGATACCGTATTTACTCGATTGAGCGCCGCCCCCGAATGAGCGCTGCCGCATTTGAGATAAAATTTTCTTAAAGAGTGCCGCCCCCAAATGAGCGCCGGCCGCACTAATTATTTTCAAATGCGGCGCTTAATCGAATCCCTTTCAATGCACCAAATTTACGTCTTCTGAAGTCGAGGAGGCATATCCAACAATGGTTACGATGCAGCAGCTGGACTCGGATCAAGAAGAGGACAGTGACATTGATACTTTGTAAACTTGTAAACAGTGTAAAAACTTTCTGTCGTTAAAATGGGGACATTTAGTGACAAAGACATTTAAAACTTGTTTATTTTATTGTTAAAAGTTCTTGTTATAATTCACAAATAAAATATTTTTTAAAGAGTGCTGCCCCCGAATGAGCGCCGCATCTGAAGCTCTGAAAATTTAAAGAGCACCATGGTGCTCAAATGAGTAAATACGGTAACTCTAAAATTATCACTAAATATAATTTATAACAGATAGTTACCAAAGACTTCATCCTAAAGCTTCACACAATATAACTTTTTTATTCGAATACATGTAGGCAGAAACTTTTCATTATTCTTAAAAAGTGTTTTTTAAACTGTTAGATTATTGGCAATTAGTTGGGAAATTCCAAAATTGCATGACAAAGCAGGAACAAGAATTTTGAAAAACTGGTATTGATGTTCCGATGTACCTACTAATTACTATTAATGAGCATATGCCATTGGAACACTAAAACTGAAGTTTTTCGACCTCTGATCAATTCTGAATGTAACAAATAACAATTTCATGAAACGTTCATACAAATTAATCATACATATTATTAGGATAATGAGTTCTATCCTATTTAAAGGTTTTAGCCTATTTTGATAAAAATTCAAAAAGTTATAACATCGATTTTTAGTATTTTTTATATTGCACTGTTTTTTAAATGACTATATAATAATCTGTGAAAATTACAATTAAAGTAAATATTAATATATGATATATTGATATATTGTAGCCTGTTAAATCACATACAAGCATATAGGCATAGAGTATGGGGGGCTTTGGGGCTCGAGCCCCTCCAGAAATCTTACGAGCCCCTCCAGAAATCCCCCCGAGACGTTTTGCAGCATTAATGTTATTTGTTTTTTTGGGCTAAGTACTGAAATTTGGTATGAAAAATTGAGATAAAGTACCTGGAAAGCAATTGCAACACGTACTCGTCCGGAAATTTTTTTACCTAAAAAGTTGTTCACGGGGGGGGGGG